CGGGCAAGCCTAGGAGGTTCTATCCAAAACAAAACGTCTTTGCCTCGTTTTTGACGTCCCAATGAGCTCAATCACGAAATGAAAAAAGATGTCTGGGATAATGAAAGTGTTCTTACAAAAAGCGCTAAAAATTGATTCTTCATACAAATGTCCGCTTTTCAATAATTCCCTGTATTTCACCGTATACGTTTTGTTGCACGATATGGTAGGATAACCGCAATGAATGAAATACGGGTTATGGAGTCCCTACCCAAATCATATGTACTACATTTTGTTAATTATGAATGCGTAGTTTAATTCCATAGTGTTATATTGAAGCCCCTGCAACATCCCATTCAGCTAGCTACTACCATAACTTTCCGCGATCATTCTACCTCCCGATGTGCTCCTTGAACAAAATACACCAAATATAAGCGTCCACAGTCTCAACTCTATATAGATAACCATGAATTGCACATATATTTTCAACCAGGAGCAAAAGAAGCCCGGGCTTATCTCTTCAGTACGGGTAAATCGACAAATTGTAGCAGCTATGCCCAGAATATTTATTGATCAGCTCTAATTCATACCCTAGTTCTCTAATTCTCTAATTCTGAAACTATCAAGTGTTGTAGAATATCCCTGGCTAGAAGGTTGGAAGAGGACCGGGGTCTGAAATCGTCTACGTATTATAATATGCAGTTTGTCTGGCACTGCTGGCCCAGCGTGGAGAGGAACACGGTCGAATTTTGATAATTAATGAAAACACTGGAAAAGCCCTATTGTTTTGACTAATGATGCGCTATCCTGCGCTGTTGACAATAATTTTGTTCGTTTTTGCATCCTGTAGGGAAAATCACTGCAACTACTACTACTACCGCTTAAGATTTTAGATGTTTCAAGAGGTTCTTAGCGTATATTGCCTATCGCCATATCATCTCGAACGCCGCTAATTCTAAACAACGATAAGAGAAGATGCCTTTCCGACTAAAAGTTAAGAAGTAAAATTTTAGCTGAATTGAAAAGGATCGTTGAACAGTAGTTTTAGAGGGTTTAAAGCGTTGCAAAGAAAAACCCCGCTTACCGCACTGATATTAGTGGAACAAAGATAATTGATGAGCATGACCCGTAGAGCATCCTGGTGGTCACTGCACTGACGCATCAGCTCCAGCACACTTGTATCACTCAACTGACCATTCATTATCTTTTCCTCCGCTTCAAAAAGCACATCAAGCTTCCTGAATGAAATTCACCGTTCTCCTAACGTATGAAACGCACTGTCAAAATAGTAAGTTAAATTTTCGCTCCTGGTTTTTATTATGCGTTTTGTGCTGTGTAACAGCAATACAAAGCGCATATTGTCACGGAATTGTCTGTGTGTGTGTCCGCAGCAACTTGTCCGCAACTTTCAACTTGGGAACCACAAAGGCTAGGAAGCTGCAAAATTTAGGAGAACGTCCCCCACCCACGTGTGAACTTGCAAATTTAAATTCAGCTTCCCCGTACCCGCGGGTAACATGTACGGTCCCGTGAAATTTTTTTTAC